TATTTTTTAAACTTTAAAAATAATAAAATAAAGAAATAATATTATATTTATAACATCATGTTATATATAACATCATATTATGCTGTTGCAATTAAAGTTTAGAGTTAGGGTTAGGGTAGGGTTAGAGTTAGATTTAGAATTAGCCTAGTTTTTCTTAGTTACACAACAGGGTTACTCTAGTAAAATTTTAAAATATTTAAGATTTTTGAAAAATTCTATATAAGATGTTATAAATATAATTTTTCTAAAATAAAATATAGTATATAGTCAGACCTCAAACAGTATACTTAACTGGTAGGTCACTTATAAGGGTGCTTTCAAGCATATTTCACAGTCCGATTGTTTAGTGCACAAGTACTACGATTAATTGAAATAATCCGCAACTCTGATAAAAAAGATGCATTTGCGTTTTACCAAGTCCAATATTTATTTAGAAATGATCAGCAAATTCACCTTTTCGCTATAGTCTTTGTCGATCGATGATTTTAATTCATCAGCTCATTAAAAAATCCGAAGCGACAAAAAGCAAAAATTAGAAATCTCAAAAAATAAATATACAACTTAGATTAGAACACTTGTAAAAATGGAGGAAGACCTAAATAATAAATGAAATTGTTCTTTGCGCCAAGTTGTCAAGTGGATACGAACTAGTAATAGATTCGAAATTCAATAGTAAAGAAAAGAGCGAAAACGCGAGGTCAGTAGATCCCACCAAAAAAGAATAAACGCAAGTGTTTTGAAAGTCATCAAGAAAAAATCAGGATTTTACAATAAATGATAACGATAAAAGATCACTGGTTTATTAAAATAGGATCTATCCCGATTAGAAAAGTGTGCTACTTTTTCTATACGATGTTAAAAAATAAAGAATAAAATAAATAATAAAATATTTGTGCAGTAGCACGTGGGTAGTTAGTAAAAAAACAACGATGCTTATTATTTCAGCATTTCCCAGGTCAAACAGATTAGGTACCGTACGGCACTGCCTACAGGATTTTACTTACAGTACCCACCTGCTATAACATCCTCCAAGACCCGGGTACGATTCATGGGTTCATAGTATCTGAGGTACTATAGTCTAAAGTTGGCAGGTAGGGTTTTTTCGGATTTTCGGACAAATAATTTAGGATAGCTTCTAAAATAAAGCTATGTATTCGAAAAGTTAGATTAAATGCTGTCATAGGCGAACAATAATAAATTTTTTTTCACAACAGTTATGTAAAATGGTTTCGATTTAGGGTTTGAAATGAAATAATTAACTGAAAATTATTTAATATCGATATTGTAGCAAACATTTGAATCGGTAGACTATGGGAAACGACGAATCAGAGATCAATGGATTCGGTTATCATGCTTAAGATTCGAGTATTACTCACTATCCTTACCAACTGTTTCTTGAATAAAGATCCGGAATATAACTACGCATATTGATTGACTAATTTTAATATATCCTAATATATCCCCAAATACAATACCTGGTTTTTCACTCGGTACTCACCTAAATTTAACTTTATAATTTAATATGTGCGAAAAACTTGTTATTAATTTCTTGTATCGATAAATCAAATTAATAGCTAAATGATTATCAATTATATGTTATCTTTGTTAAAGTTTAAAATTAAAACTACTATCAGATTTAAAACTAATATCAGATTTTGATAATATTCGACCGCTTTGTGTTTATTCTAACACCGATTTTTATTTGTTCCATCATCACTCATGACTGAAATATAGTAAACTGTAGATCTACAGCTTGAAGCGAAGTGTTAGTACTTTCATACGTATTAGTAAAGAATTTTAGAATATCAAAATATTTTAGAAAACCAACCTTACTAGGTCAGTGCCGTACGGTAATTTCCTAAATTGAAAACCGCGATAATGTTAACACGTGCTTGTTCTCGCATATATGAGATATATATTTTTTTCATCCATACAAACTGTCAGGGTTTATATTTCAGTATTTTTTATATTTGGTACAGTATGTTTTAATATAAAAATACGCATGAGAAGTGTCAGTTTCCTTTTCTGGGTTTGCATCACTATTTTTTTTCCGGATTTGGTATCGCGTATTATGAAAATATTCGTTTATATAAACCCTCACCATTTAATTTTAGAAAATTGCCTATGTCTGATGATAATTTCGTATTTGAGAAAATCATAAAAAATCTTCTAACACTCACAAAAACATTGTCGATATATATTTAATGGTAGTTTTTGGAGTAGTTATCGCATCGAGGGCTTAAGCGCGTCTGGTTATTTATCTTCTGAATACAGACCGGTAACGTCTTGACGTGCACCGCTAGACCTCACTTAAGCTCTGAATAATGTCAAGGCGATTAAGTTGTTCTGCTAAAAAATGTACTCTACCCATCTTTAATGAAACATTAGTGGGTTTACATTTTACCGGTGCGGATAAGGTAATGTTCTCATTCTCTTTTTACGCATTTTTTTAAAAAAACAAAGATTAGTTTTTCCTTTTTTTTCGTTTTTTTCTTGTTCTTTTTTTTATTTAATGAGTACTAACATATATTTATTTTTTATTATTAGTTTAGATTGTTCATCGATTTTAGTGATGTGCTTTGTTCGTCGTTGGTGTCGTCCAGTTCGGTGGTTCTTTTCTCGTCCCTGGTGTCTCCCATTCAGTATTCCTTGCAACGTGATTTCTTCTTTCGTCGTTGGTGTAAGGTGGCTTTTTCTTTCGTTGGTGCCGTCTAGTTGATAAAAAATTCTACGTCAAATTTTGCCTAAAAAAATAAAGATATATTTTATCAGACTATTTGCATATTTTCGAACCATACAATCTTTAAAATTCGAAACTGCCTTTATTATTTAAATGACTAGGTTATTAAAAATATCTTTTTTAAACATCCCGATGTTCAGAAAGCAAATATGCTTATTAGCCGGATAATTCTCAATCATTCTTTTTATCATGCAAGAAATTCAATATTATCATGTGATGAACGATTGACGCACATGAATTAAAGGTCTTTCGTGCTATTATACTTTAATTTGCTTTTCAGGTTTATTTATGGAATGGCAATAAATAAATATCATAGAAAAGGTTGAAACTGGAAATCGGGAGTCTTTCTTGTCATTTAGTATCAATATTCTTGTGTTTATTGATTTTTGTATTAGTATTATCAGTGTCATAATATACCCATCATATATCATGTGATATTCGAAAATTTATTTCTGTATTGTGACCTATTATCAAGCTTAAGGAGTTTCGTATATGTTAAAAATCAAACTATACATATTAGTTGCGTTTTGTTATTAGATTATATTACTGTATTAAAAACGCATTACTATTTCAAAAATTTCAAGAAAAGACTTTTTTGTTAGTACGCAGAAGGCGGGCTTATGATTGATCAACGGAATTTTTTAGGGTGGTAACGCTATGACCAATGTTGTACACACGGACATTGCTCCCGCAATTTTTTAATATCCTGCAATTTTAACTCCAAGAAAACAAATTCATAGGTTTGGGAAGCATAACATCAATCAAATATAAATGCATATAACAGCATATATAGTTTGTTTAATCGTTCAATTCAAAGCGAACGAACAGTATAATAATTTCTAACAAGACCTGCATACGATAATCATGATATGCTTTTAACATTAAAATTAACCCTGTAACTGCAGAAATGGCGTATGTAACTTACGTTATAGATTAACAAATTGATTTTTTATCATTGTTATTTTATTTATATATAATATAATAAATTAACACGAATAAAAAGAAAGAAAATAAATATGGAGTATTTTACTTAAAAGGTAAATCAACATTTGTATAGTAAATACGATAATATCGTTATACTCGACCCAACTAAGAGAGATGCAGCATTACACAGTTCTGTAGTTAAACGTATCGACATTAAATCAATGATATCAATATGAATTTATCATATGAAATCCTATCATAGCGATCGTTATCTATATGCTTATTTTGCCCGTATGATTAACAATTCAATCGCTTATAAAGTTTAACTGATATCATATTTGTCAATGGTTAAACGTTAAACAAATAACCTAATCCATTGTTTATAATTCTCCTCAATCATCCAATCAAATTATGCTTCTAGGGGCATTTGTCACGGACACAATGTTCCTACCCCATATACGACACTGGTCTTCCCCACATTAACCAAATTCCTTCTAACCGAGTTGAATTCGAATAATCTCAACCAATAGAAAGTGTGGGGAAAAGATTGTGTTTATTCATTTGATTGGTCAAATTCGAAAGAAAACGATAATAGAATTATTGTACAGTACATGCATATTAAAGATCGTCAAACATCATCTGAACTTTGCAGATTCAATAAACTCTATTCTGTTTTTATTAATATTCGGATAAAATTCAAACAATTGTGATTAATAAATCCGCGAATGCTTTGGTTAGTCAATTGATAGTCTATTTAGTGTAGTCAATTGATCGTCGGTTGATTGATAATCTACTGTATGATTTAACCATACCTCATACTATTTATAAAAATTAGTGTTCAAAATTCTCGTACTCATATCTCTATTCTAAACATTCTAAACATTTTAAACATTCTAAACTACAGAACGAAAATATATATATTCATACAATTATATTATAACGAATATATATATATATATATTCAATTATATTATAACGATAATATATATTTTTGATTCAATTTTTTATAAACTGCAATTGTTTTTTTTTTTGGATCTCTTTTTGGTCGATATCTTATTGCGATGAATATATTTGGTTTTAACATTGTAATAACTATTGTGATTATTTTGTTTCATGCGAAAATGTTACAAAAAAATCTTCGCTTAGTCACCAGGTAAGTGTCTTAGTTACACGTATTGTTACAACCTTGGGTCTTATATGTTTTTAGAGGTTCTTTGTTTTCATAAGTTTCACATGAAATCATGTGTAGTTAATTATAAATGAAGAAATGCGCGTCGTTATTCGCGTCGATTATAATTAGACCTTAATTTCGTTTACTTTTCTTCCATCTTCATTAATGTTGGAATTTATCCCTTTCGAACTATTTTATTCAATTGTTCATGAACTTGATGAACAAGCTTTACGTAATTTAGAAAGGGTTTCACGTTATTATAATATTTTAACTTCAGACAATGGAGTTTGGAGTCAAAAGGCTTTAAAACGTTGGGAAAATAAAAAGGGAATGAGTAAAGTATGCGATGAGAATCGCAAATTTTGGTTTGAAAGCCCTGGTGCCTGGAAACGTGTTTATAAATTCGTTGAGAAAGAAGCAACGCGAACTTCATTGGACGTGAATGACTTGGTTGAAAATATTTGGTTCTGTACGGTAAGTCACATAAATTGATTTTAACATTGGTATGTTGCGATAAAAAAAAAAAAAACTAATTTAGAATCGCTTTACAGCCTATTGATAATCCTTGGGCCAAGGATACGTCAATAACATTCTATCGAGACGGCACCTACATTCATCATCATGAATTTTTTAATGCGTCTTTTTCGGTTTGTGTTATATAATAATATGTTTCTAATATTTTATTAATGACTCGTATGTTGAAATATTATTTTTTTAAAAAGTGGTCCATTGCTGAAGATGGATCTATACGTTTGAACCAAAAACTTTTTAAACTGACCAGGTGTTCTAATTGGAATTTAAAAATCTCAAGTGGCAATTTGGTTTTTAAATCATCCGGCGCTGAAAGTTTTAAAAGAAAATTAAGAGAAGCTGACTTGATCCCGAGAAATGATAATTGAATTTATGGCAACATTTGAGATAGTCATAACACATCCTCACTCAGTGCTAACACGATGAATTTGAGAATAATAAAAATAATATATATTTATTCATTAACTTTCTTATATTTTGCCAAAAATTCCTCTTGAAACTTTCCTTGTTGTTGTAAAACGATAAAACTAGGAATACCATTTTTTACAACATATTTTGAATGTGACAATACTTCTTTTAAGGTGCAATTCTTGCCAATTCTAATTAACTTTTGTTTCTCTTCATTTCCTGTTGATATTGTATATTCGTAGTAAATTTGTATATTATTTGGTGTATATTTACGTTCAATGTCCCAAAGTGCTGGTTGTTCAAAAATCACTTCAAGATGTTCAAAAAATGTATTTTCTTCATTAAACGCTTCAATAAAATCTGTTTCCTTATATTCTGGATATAGGAAAAAAACGGGCCAAATTAATTGTTGAGTTTCCGTATCTAGATGTACTGAATGAGGTGATATCGGTGCATCGGGTGTCATTTCCATTTTAACATTACGCATCTATTAATAAAAAAAATTAGTTTTTTTTTGATTAAATAAACGTTAGTTAAATATATATATCTTTTTAAACCTTTATAGCTTTCTCTAATGCCTCTTTTTTCTCTCGTTCCTTTCGTTCACGCTCTTCTTTAATTTTAGCCTTTTGATCCAATATCTCTTTTCGTTTGATACAAATCTCTTTTAATTGTTGTAAGGCTAAGTTATTTGGCCCTATCTAATAACATTATACAAACATAATTAATTATTAAAAGATTATCTAGCACATTATATTACAATATAGAAAATATTAATATTTACTTCAATTCCATGTTCGCAACAATCTAAAGCTTGATCAATTTTATCAAGCGCATATAAGGCTTTTGCAGAACGATAAAATGCCTTGATGTTTTGAGGATTTAATTTAATGGCTTTCGCACAATCTGTAAGAACTTTACGATAATTTTCTATAAAGAAAAATAATCTTGAATAGTAAATAAATATAATAAAATTAATAGATGTTATATCCTGGTGAAAAAATTAATTTTATAATTTACTTACGTAATTCTAAATTAACAGCTGCACGATTTGTTAAACATGCTTCAATGATTTTATTGTCTTGACAATTTGTTTCTAATGCTTTCGTGTAAAAATTTATCGCATCTTGATATTGTGATTTTCCTGTTTTAAAACATTCATTTCCCTGATTTTTAAAATTCTCTGCAATTTCTATAGAATATATAAAATATTTTTAGTTTCTAAAGTAAAAATTATCCAAATTTTATACTAAAATACCTTCAGGTGGACCCTCGTAAATTAAAGATTGTAAAGCCGCAAGTGCATCATTTTCTTCCTCCGGTAATTCAGTCATGAATAAAGGAACTTTATTCATTTGTTTGAGAATATCTTCTCCGGAATCTCTTTCAAATCCGCCATCAACTTTTGGTCTTTCTGGGCCTGATACGTTGGACATTTTTTATAGATCTTGAACTATCGCTATTACTATACGTAATTTTTTTCTAATTTCTGTTATCAAGCCACACAAGTTGTCTTACATATCTCTGATTATCTATACTATATATGTACGTAATTAACCAATCAAATTGCGAGCCTCTTGTAATTGATTGTTATTTAAATACTGCAATACTAAAAGATAAAATCCGACTTTTAAAATTTTAAGCTAAAAGATAAATAAATAAAAAAATAGATTACAAAGAATTGCTCGCTCATGATAGACCTACCCTTACAGCGTGATGCAACTTAATTTCCCTGTAGAGGCGTTCGCTATGAAGGTATTCCATTAGTAAAATATGTGCCCGACACAGTACTTGTTTTTATTATGTACTTCTTGTGTAACGCCGTTCCCTGAATTTATCGGATTCGAATGTCCTCCAAGAAGTCTCCTTTCACCGGGAAATTTTATCTTTATTTTTTTACTAGTATGATTCTATCATTTTAGCTGCTGTTTGCATTGTTGTTACAGTATTCTTTTAGCTTTTTCAAACTAACCTATCCTTCACCATGTATTGTATTTTACCACGGTAATAAATTGGTTCTGTAACATTTAAATTTTTTACATTAAATCACGATAATTTCGATACAAACCTTAATCTCATATTATACATGAGTTAGTTCTGCAATTTCTTTGATAGAATTTTTTACAGCGATTCATGATACAGTAGAAATCCTGATAATTCCATCTCAAACTAACTCAACTCAACCTTAACCATACTGTGTTACCGAAGCAGAGTGTATAGTTGTTAGACGAAACCATGTGATGCTAAATGTCACATATCAAATCTTAATCAAAATTTTTAGGTCTTGGTATTTTGTGACAGGTGATATTTAGCATCACATGGTTTCGTCTAACAACTATAGCAGAGTGTACTATAATTTTTTTAGTAACTTACACTTTAACCACTAGAGTAATAACTCACGATAAAGATCATTATCATTCCAATGCAAACTAACTCAACTGCATACCGAATACCGGAATAGAGAATAAGTTTTGTAACAGAATTTTTACAGCACTCACGATAGAATCGCAATGAAATAATCATATACTTTGGTTACCGGAACAGCATGTAAGTTCTATAATCGAATTTTTTTCAGTAACTTATGATAGAAATCACGATGGTTCCAATGATAAACTAACACAATTTTAACCACACATTGTGTGTTGTTAGAATAGTTTATAATAGGATTTTTACCATAGCTCATGATAGAAATCAACAGTAATTCAAATGTAAACAAACTCAACTACATACTATAAATACCAGAATAGAGAATAAGTACACTACCTCAACTGCATACTTTGATCACCGAAACAGCGTGTAAGTTCTATAATGGATTTTTTTTTAGTAACTTATGATAGCAATCACGATAGTTCCAACATAAATTAACTCAACTTTAACCAAACATTGCGTGTTGTTGGAATAGTTTGTAATAGGATTTTTTACCATAGCAAACCAACTCAACTACATACTGTGGATATCAGAATAGAAAATAAGTTCTATAACATAATTTTTACATTACTCACGATAGAATTATGCTACTTCTAATTTATACTACCTCAACTGCATACTTTGATCACCGGAATAGTATGTAAAATAATTTTTATTCAGTAACGTAAGATAGAAATTATAATAGTTTCAACATAAACTAATTTAACCATATACAGTGTGTTACCTGAATAGCAGCTTTTTTTTATAGTAGCTCATAGTAGAAAATTCGATCATTTCAATGCAAACTAACTCAACTACATATTGTGGATACTGGAATAGAGAATAGTTTGTAATAAAATTTTTTTTTTACTCATGATAGAATCGAATCACATTTTACAGTAACTCACTATAGAAACCAATGATAATTCAAATAAGACCAACTCAACTACGTACTGTGGATAGTGGAATAAGTTCTGTAACAAAATTTTTATATTACTCATGATAGAAATTATAATAATTTTAATCTAAACTACCTCATCTGCATACTTTGGTTACTGGTAGCGTATAAGTTCTATAATCGATTTTTTCTAGTTACTCATAATAGAAATTATGATAGTTCAAATATAAACTAACACAATTTTACCCACACAATTTGCGTAGCTGGAATAGTTTGTAACAGAAGTATTTACAGTAACTCATAATAAAAATCAATTAATTCAAATGCAAACCAACTCACCTATATATTGTAGATACTGGAATAAAAAATAAGCTCTGTAACAAAATTTTTACAGTAACTCATAATAGAAATCACGATGATTCTAATATAAACTACCTCAACTACATAATTTGTCATTAAAATTGTAGCAACTTCTGTACCGGAATTTATTGCATTAACTCAAACATCATTATGGCACATTTGCGAAATAAAGCATACAATTTGTCACCAAATCCAAGCATTTGGTTCCCTAAATTAAATTTACTTACTGAATTATATATTAATCAATTAATGTTAAACCTAAAAAAAAAATTTTAAACACTGATATGTACTGAACATGTCCAAACCATTTTCCCCATATTCTAACCCATCATCCCACTTCTCGATGTATTCTATTAGACATAAAAATTTATTAAATAACGTATTATAACTTAGGGAATGTTAATTATCTTAGTTAAAACCTATATTTACATATTAGTAGTCAAATTTTGGGGTATTTTGAAAATGCACCATAATGATAATTTCAATATAAACTAATCTATTTTATTAAAGTTTTTAATTAAATATACAGTGTATAATTTAATAATTATTTATTTATATGTATAGCTTTGATATATTTATTACCATGTTATTTGGGTTATATAAACATATATATTAAACTATTAATCAATCCTAATCATGCTATTTATGCAATACAAATTCTGGGAACCTGACAGTATGTATCCATATATATATGTGTCACTGATCTAGAATAAACAAAATTTACAGCACTTCTTTTTTTTGGATTCGTGTACTTTATTTTGATATTTTTTTTGGATTCGTGTACTTTATTTTGATTTTTTTTTGGATTCATGTTGATACCATTTCGGATTGTTTATTTTTAAATAAAATAATTTTTTTTACATGCTCACTTTATAGATTTTTTATATAAAAAGGCATGAAAAGTCCTTTTGAAAACTTCATAATTTGAATAATATCTATTATATAATGCAAGGGTGTGTTACACAAGGAGACAAACACTATGAGACAAATGTTATGAGACAAACACTATGAGACAAAAATATAATTTGATTAGCTGTTTATAAAAAAAGATCTTTCGCATTCTATCATAGGTCAGTTACGCGTATATACTTAATTTTCGTGCTCACAACGGCCTAACTCTACCAAATTTTTTTAATAGCTAGAAAGGTGAACGATTATCTCTTTACAAATTACAACCACTAAAAAAAAAAAACGTGGCTTGCTATATATAACCAAGTAGTTCCAAGCTATATATAGAATTTTTAAACCCTCTTCTTTTTTTTCTTACTTATATACACAGTTATATATTTGAGTGTTGATCGTTTTTTCTTCTTTCCTGTTCTATTAGGGTACTTACTATAGGTCAGTTACACACATGTACTGAGATTTCGTCCTCCATTCTTATCTCAATATGCTTAATAGCTGCACTAGTGAATGATTATCTCAGTACAAAAGACAAACACTGAAAAAACACAACGTGGTTTGATATGTATAAGCAAGTAGTTCAAATATTTGTTACAAACTATATATAGAAGTTTTAACGCTTCTTTTTTTTTTTTTTTTTAATTAGGTACAGTTTATATTTGAGTTAACCTCTAAAATAATTACAGATTTGGGATTAACATCGCCTGTGGAAGAGATATATTCTCCTGAATTCACGATTCAACCGTCACCTTTACCAACTTTCTCTTCAATCAACTATCGAACGTTAAACAACCAATTATGCTGAGCGTCAAGAAAATAATTTCAGATTACCATATCGGTGAATTATGATTATAACGTCTTTAATATTTATTGTTTTGTCAGAGTTTTATGCTAATGACAAATTTATTTCATATAGGATTAATAATAATAAAATTGGTGACGCATCAATAAGACTACAATCCAACCAATTTGAAACCTGGACAAAAGCACTCAAATACAATTAACTTCGATGTAAGGATTAGCCTTAACGCAGCTTTATATCAGATATATTTATAATTGTAATAATCCTGATTTTCTGGTCACATTAACAATAGGATCAATAGAGTGCAACGATATATATAATTTATATTAGGATAATAGAACAATATTTAGAATTTATATATATTCTTTTCAATCGACTATCGAACATTAAACAACCAATTATGCTGAGCATCAAGAAAATAATTTCAGATTACCATATCAGTAAATTATGATTATAACGTTTTTAATATTTATAGTTTTGTCAGAGTTTTATGCTGATAACAAATTTATTTTATATAGGATTAATAAAGATAAAATTGGTAACGCCTCACTAAGACTACAATTCAACCAATTTGAAACCTAGACAAAAGCCCTCAAATACAATTAACTTTGATGTAAGGATTAACCTTAACACAGCTTTATATCAGGTATATTTATAATTGTAATAATCCTGATTTTCTGGTCACATTAACAATAGGATCAATAGAGTGCAACGATATATGTAATTTGTATTAGGATATTAAAACAATATTTAGAATTTATATCCACTTTAAAGCTTTTCAAATTTTTAGACCTGAATTTGTGCGGGTTAGCAGATTTACAACACCCAAATGAAAGATACACCACACTGAAGATCTAGCTAGCTATATATAATATAGAGTCGTCAAGTCATTCCCCCCAATTTCATTCATGACCAAACTTAGCTATGCTAAAGTCTTCCTTACGTCTAGATTTTTTGAATTGTTCTAGAATTGAAATTGAAATAAATGAATGGAATTAGTAGAGTAGTTTGATATAACCAGAATCTTACTGGGAAAGTATAACTGATGTGTTGATTGCATAAGCAGTCAACACATCAGTTATACTTTTCCAGTAAAATTCTGCTTATATCCAACTGCTCAGAATACAGGCGATCGCTTTACAAATGGGGCTTAGTATGTATTGGTATTTAAATATTGATTCTAATAGGTTTCAAAATTTACCAATAAGTGGTGCATTTCGAAAATGAGTAGGGATTTTTTAAATAGCGAAAGTACCTAAATGTAAAATTTTAAATATTTTAATAAAATAAATAAATTTGGGGTTTTAAATAGTTTATTTCGAAAATAAGTGGGTGCTTAAGTTTTTAAACATACTTTAGATTTGATGTTATCTAATGTTTAATCATTATAATATTTAAACTCACCTATGTCAATTAAATGATGTAAATTTGAAAATGATATTTAACATATGATAAAAATCAGCCATTTACTGCGCCGCTGCCCATTGAAGTATCGATTTGATATATCAAATTGAGTAATAGTAATAAAATTTTAAAATACATAACATGAATCAAAAATGACACTTATTGAATGCCCAGTATTTACTATGTGTCGTTTTAGACCTGGGTCCTCATAGGCAGACATTTGTATGATTGGCTGTTTAAATCAATTTAATTTTACATTATTTATATAGTTTAAAGTACTTTTTTAAAAAAAAGAAAACTACGAAGAATAAACAAAAAAGAAGTATATAGGCTATATACTTCTTTTTTGTTTATTCTTCGTACAGTTTTTTTCTTTTTTTAAAAAAGTACTTTAAATTGTATAAAGAATGTAAAATTAAATTGATTTAAACAGCCAATCATACAAATGTCTGCCTATGACCTAGATTCACGGTCTAAAAAAAGGGGCATTCATCTTTTACTGGGATTATTGTAATGCTACTATAAACCAAAAGTAGTATATAACTATAAAGCAGATATTTTTATCAATTTTTAACAGCTGACCTACCTCTTGAAGTGTATCATGCATAATCCGGATTTGCATGAGGAGAGTATTCTTCTGCATCACGAATTCAAAGTAAATTTCTAATTATATTCTATAATTGGAAATTTTACTTTGTATTTACAATACAGATAATACTTTCTTTATGCCAAATCCAGGTTACATTGATGTATATCACAAGGTAGGGCAGCTGTTAAAATTAATAAAAATCTTTGCTTAATAAAACATATTCTAGCACATTTACTATCTTTTCATATATACTTTTTTTCTTTTTTTTTGTTTAAAAAATATTAATTCACTATCTTCTTTAATATAAACATAGCACTTTCAATTAATTACAGCATGAATCAAAGATCTTTAGCATAACAATTAAGACGTATATGTAAACGTGAACAGCATAAAAATGAACCTAGCAGAAGAGCAATTGCTCAACAAGAAAGCAGAAATTATGAGCGAGAAATACAAGTGCAAGAAAATGAATTTGATAGAAGAGCTAATACATATCAACAAAGTAGTACTAATGAGTTAGAAATGCAAATACTTCAAAATGAGCCAAATAAAAGATCTATTGCACAACAAAATAGAAGAAATCATGAAAGAGCAGAGAATTCAGTAAACCAAAGAGCTATCTCTCAACAAGAAAGAAGAAAACGTGAAAAAGAAGTTGATATAGTAAATTGAAGAAGTTTTTCTCAACAAGTTAGAAGAGACCATAAAAGAACTACAAATACAGTAAATAAAAAATCAATTTCACAACAAAAAAGAAAACAACGTGAAAGAGAAGCTAACAAACAAGCTCAAAGTGAAAATGAGCAAGCAAAAAGAGCATGTACTATATCTCTTGATGAACTATTAACACAACTTCAACAAAATAATGTAAGACATAATCTTGGACGTATGAATACTGTTTGTACTCACTGTGGAGCACTTCATTGGTTAGAAGAATGATTAGTAAAATCTTCAAAAGCTAATCCAAAATTTGGAAAATGTTGTAATCATGAACAAGTTATTCTTCCACTTCTCCAAAATCCACTACTTCTATTGCAACAATTTTTTGAAGGTCAAGATGAGCAATATAAAGAATTTCGTGCAAATATAATTCAACACATGCATTTACTTCACTTGGAGTAGATATTGACAGATCAGTTCTTGATAGACATTCTCTATATATCTTTCGAATTCATGGTAAATTGCGGCATCATTTAGGTTCTCTTATTCCAGAATCTTTCATGGAAGCAGCTTATGCACAACTTTATATTTATAATCCAGATATTGCTCAACAATTAAGAATTGGTCGAAATAATAATTTAAATCAACAAACAATTTGGAAACTACAAGGAATTCTTAGAGAAAATTACGCATTTTATCCTATTTATCGTCAGGTTTATGAAATTCTTTCTCAAACTCGCAGAGAAAATCTTACTGAAAGTGATTTAGCTGTTTATCTTCATTTTGACAATACAACAGACAGACATCGCTATAATCTTCCAACTTCTGGTGAAATAGCTGTTATTTTACCTGATGATGGTTTAATTCCTGAGGCAATGCGTGATATTGTACTCTGTTTACGTGGAGGTCCACTTCAACATATTTATAAAGGCCATCCTGAATATTTATCTCTTCATTATGTACTTTTTTTCCCTTATAGAGATCTTGGTTGGCATGCAGAAATGTGTTAAACTTTGCTTGATAATAATGGACTTCCTGCTGAAGATCAAAGCAAAGCACCACATCTTACACAAATGGATTTTTACTCTTTTCGGCTTTTTTCTCGCCATAATGAGTTCTCAACTATTCTTCATGGTGGAAAATTGTTACAGGAATTTATGGTTGATGCCTGGGCAGCAACAGAACAAAATCATCTAAGATTTTTATGATTAAACCAAGGTTCATTACGAGCAAATGCATATCAGGGTCTAGCCGATGCAGTTGGGAATGTTGCAAGTGATGAATTAAATCTAAATAATCTTGGATGTTGTATAATTCTTCCTTCATTACATATTGGAAGTGCACGGCATATATTTGAGATTTTCAAGATTCATTAGCTATAACTCGATTCTATCACTATCCTGATATTTTTGGAACCATGACAGCAAATTCTAATTGGCCAGAAATTATTAATGAATTACTACCTGGACAAAGTTCTGTAGACAGGCCTGACTTAGTAGCATGTGTATTTGAACTTAAGCGTCGTGCTCTTCTTAATGATATTAAAACCAACAATATTTTTGGAAAAGTAGTAGCTTATGTTTATACGATCGAATTTC